AACACACTGGTCTTACCTGACAGGAGGAAAACATCTGAGGAGGTAAGCCCACGTTTCAGCTATAACCTAAAATAATTTTGATTTTTCAAATATTTTTTCTCTTATTTTGAGTTACAGGAACCATACACTTTACATTTCTTATTTCTCAATTTATTGTCCTCTATAACAAGTGACATTTTTTGTGATATTCCAAAAAAAACAAAAAAAAACAAAAAAAACTTAAAAGTAACTCTTCTGTTTGGGTTCTGAGTCGTGACTCCTTCCTTTTTTATTTTTATTATTATTATTTTTTTTATCTCAAATCACTCTTATGAACCAAATGCATATGTTCAGCGTCTGAATGTCATTAAGTTGTGTACACTTTTGAGAAACTTTTAAAATAGGATTTGATGCAAATATTTCGGGTTATTTCATCAAGGAATCATCACCAGGTCATTTCCTTGTTTGCTCGCTGTCCACGGTTCTGAAAAAATGTCCTCCTCTCCTGACGCTTTCACTTGTAAATGGTCGTTTTTCACTAGTCTGCTTTGGCGTGATTGCATTTTACATTAGAAAACTGATCGTTCAGTGCATTTTCAGCTTTTATAGATTTGCATGTTTGCTTTTTTACGAAGTGTGAAAGGTGCACAATTGTTTAAATTGCTAATCCTTTGCACCAAGTCTGCTGGCAAACTTTGCAATACAAACTGATTTTTGTTGGATCCTGTGCAAAAATCTCACCGATCATAAAGGATGTGGGACATTTTATATTGAGTGATCTCGTAATGTACTCGAATGAAGGGTTTAATGTTGATTGAAACTGTCATTTAAATGTAAAAGTGTTGAAGGAATACGGAATTGATAATCGGGATTTTTTTATTTTTTGTAAAATATGTAGTAGAGCGTGAAGACGTTATTTGGAGACAGAGTTGTTGCATTGTATTTGGTCCAGGAGGTGTCAGTGTGTTCCCAGCATTATTTATCTGGTGGTTCTGGTCCAGCCCTTCAAATGTTTTATTCTCGTCGGCAGAATGGAGGCGAATCCTTCTGACGGGAAGCACGTCGCTGTGCACATATAGACGAATTAGGGTCTTTTTTTAACCCTAATCATTTGTAATGTAATACCAATATACTTTGCTTCGCATGAGGACCTGTAAGTGGATTTAAATTTATACATATTTATTTTTATTTCAACCGAGACAATGGGAGCAGGAGGACAAAGCCGGGGGATGCGGTCTTGGTGGCTCGCTCTCAGTTTCTCTGTGATGCTCAGCTGCGTGGATCCGAGTTCAGCTCAGATAAAATATTCTATCCCAGAGGAAGTCAAGGTGGGATCTGTTGTTGGAAACATTGCGAAGGATCTGGGATTGGACGTAAACACGTTGGAGGAACGGAAATTTCGCATTGTGTCTGGAAGCAAAGAAGCTCAGTTTGAAGTGAGTCAGAACAATGGCGTCCTGTATGTGCACAGAAACATCGACAGAGAGCAGGTCTGTGAGAACGTGTCCCCCTGTCTGATCAACCTTAAACTAGTGGCTGAGAATCCCATGGAAATACATTATATTGGAGTGGAAATTATTGACATAAATGATAATTCACCGAGCTTTCAGGAGGAGGAGAAAATCTTAGAGATTTCTGAGTCTGTTCTCCCAGGGAGACGTTTCCAGCTGCCAAACGCGCATGATCCAGATGTTTCTCTTAATACAGTGCGTGTTTATAAACTAAATCAGAACGATTTTTTCAGTTTACAAATTCGAGAAAGTGGAGAAGTCAAGGTACCACTTTTAGTTTTGCAAAAGGCTCTGGATAGAGAAAAGGATAATGAACATAAATTGACTCTGACAGCTTTAGATGGTGGGAATCCTCCCAAATCAGGGACTCTGAACGTCACAGTCACAGTCTTGGATTCAAATGATAACCATCCTGTATTCAGTCAAGATATATATTCAGTTTCAATATCTGAAAATGTCAAAAATAATACCAGCGTAATTACGGTTAATGCGACAGATTTAGATGAAGGTGTGAATGGAGAAACTGAATATGTATTTGGTAATGAGCTTAATGCAGACTTATATAATATTTTCAGTTTAAATAAAGTCAGTGGGGAAATAAGAACAAAAGGAAATATTGATTTTGAAAGGACAGATATTTACAAATTAGAAGTCCACGCTAATGACAAAGGACATCCTCCGATGGGTGCAGACTGCACAATAATCATAAAAGTGTTGGATGAAAATGACAACGAGCCAGAAATAGAAGTGACTTCTCTCTCTAAACTGGTTTCAGAAGACTCCAAACCGGGGACTGTGGTTTCTTTAATTAGTGTCAAAGACCAGGACTCGGGTCTAAACGGTAAAGTGATCTGCAGTCTTTCAAATAATGTTCCATTTGATTTAAAACCATCATTCCAGGACAACATGTACTCTTTAGTGTTAAAACAGCGTTTGGACCGAGAGTCAGTGTCTCATTATGACATCACAATAACTGCTAGTGACTGCGGTCAGCCTCCTCTGTCCACATCCAGAACTCTGAGCATTGATGTGTCTGACGTCAATGATAATGCGCCCGAGTTTTTACATAATCCAATAGAACTTTATCTGATAGAGAACAACGTTCCTGGGAATCCAATTTGTTCTGTGTCTGCTTTGGATAAAGACTTGGCTGAGAATGCTGCTTTAAGTTATCATTTAGTCAGGGAGGAGAGCAGACAAATGAAAACAACTGCATTTTTGAACATCAACTCAGAAAATGGACAAATAACTGCATTGAAAAGTTTTGACTTTGAAAATCTGAAAACTTTCCAGTTCCAAGTTGTGGCCACAGACTCTGGAGCTCTGTCTCTGAGCAACAACGTGACAGTGAACGTGTTCATTCTGGATCAGAACGACAACGCTC